AAGGTGGATCCCACACGAACCTGGAAATTTCTGTCTGTTAAAAACTGATCTACAAAATGTGGCAAACGCCCTCTCAAACCCATGTCATAAAGATCTCATAAAATTCCATGTTTCCAGGTGGTCTCATATGCTTTTTCTAAATCGAAAAATATTGATACCGCATGTTGTTTATTTATGAAAGCATTTTTCACAAATGATTCCAGTCTAACCAAATGGTCAACTGTACTTCTATTTTTTCAAAAAACACATTAAATATTTGTTAAAAGGTTATGAGTTTCTAAATACCATATAGGTCTGTTATTTACAATTCTTTCCATGGTCTTACATACACAGCTAGTGAGCGATATCGGCCTATAATTAGAAGGATCAGTATGATCCCGGCCAGGTTTTGGGATTGGAATAACAACGGCATTTCGCCAAGATGAAGGGAAATTCCCCGTTGTCCAGATATGATCGAAAATAGTCAATAATGTTTCTAAGCATGACTCAGGTAAATGTTTGAGTAACTGTTAATGAATATTATCAGCACCCATGGCAGTGTCATGAGCTTGCCCTATGGCGGTATGCAGCTCATGGATGGAGAAAATTTCGTTATAATCCTCACCATTATCAGAATTAAAATTAATTGTCTTCTTTTCTTGTTGGACTTTAAATTTTTGAAATTTTGGTGTATAATTAGATGAGGAAGAGTGTTTAGCTAAAGTTTCTCCTAATTTGTTTGCTATGTCACATATATTGGTTAATAGAGTGTCACCGTCCTTAAGAAGGTGAACACTAGTTTTTGATCCTTTACCCTTTATCCTTTGCACCATATTCCAAACCTTAGATATTGGAGTACGGAAATTTATCTTAGAGACATAACTTTGCCATGATTGGCGTTTATTTTGTTTAAATACTCGACGAGCTTTAGCATTTAACATTTTAAATTTAATTAAATTGTGGACAGTTGGATGGCGTCGAAAATATTTCTCTGCCTTTTTCCTCGCTGTTCTAGCTTGTTTACATTCGTTGTTAAACCATGGTTTACGTATATGTGGAATTGTAGAGGATTTAGGTATACATTGGTCAGCAATTCCATTTAAAATGTCAGAAAAATCCTGAACAGCATTGGTAACATCAGTGAAACATTCGGGTTTTATTTGATTTAAGCACATTGTTTGAAATAAAGACCAGTTTGCCTTGTAAATGCAACATGTAAAGTAAGTCGCACTGCAACAGCTTGCAGATTAGTATTAGGTATGACAGGACTGTGGATAACATTCTGTCGCAGAATTATTGAAGATCCTCCAGTGGCCCTATTCCCTGGAAGAGAAAACGAATGATACGCACTGAACTGAAGTAAATTAAAATGGTCTGTCTGCTTTAAATATGTCTCTTGTAAGCAGACTGCTGATGGATTAAGATCCTGGACTAATAGATGAAATGTCTTAATTCCTCTACAATTCCATTGTACAAAATTTGTTGAAGAAACTATCTTTTCGGGGGATTGACTGGGGACCTACCCCTCACCCACAAGCTATGTGCCCTGTGATGGCTGATATCGGACACATCCATGTCCTCAAGGGATCCAAACTTATGAAAAAGTTGGATCTTGTTATTTGCCCCCTTTGAGGCTCTGCCACTTTGATATTTTTCAAGAGGTTCTGTTTTTGGTCTAGATTTGTTCTTTGCAAGTTGTTTGACGGATATTTGATTGAGATTGTTCGGATTCTTCAGTTGATGACTGGTCCCAAGATGAAGCTGCAACTTCATCACGAGATGCCATGGATTGAGTCAGTACTTGTTGTGTTTGAGAGCTGGAATTCTCTTGTCGATGTCTCACCTGGGCTGCTGCAGATAATAAAGTAGGACCAGAGATTTTAGCCCACATATAATCGGTCTGGCACCCTGTGGAATGACAGGTAACATGTTGGGTCTTAGAACCTGCAGAGAAGCAGGAACAGCAGAAGTAGAAGATGGTCCTGGTTGTTCCTGAGCAAGAACAACCTTCCTTGCTTCGAAAAAGGAAATGTTCTGTTCACATTTTACCCTTGAAATTTTGGGATTTAAGTTCCCAAGTAGGACATTCCTTGGATGAAGACGGAGTGTTGCCAGCGCAGTTGACACCGTGAGGAGGTTTGTTACAGAGGACACTGTCTTCGCATGTTCCAGCACATCTGTGACATGCAGCTGGACTTTGAGCCATGTCCATACTTTTGCCACGAGTAACACCTCAAAGGATTAGGGATAAAAATTGCAGTAACCTGCTTTGAGGAATTCTGGGAGCAGTGGGAGACAGAATGTAAACAGATAATTGTTGGTTTTTATAACTTCATTATTTCTTGTTGCCTCGAAACGTTTGACAGCAGTTACTCCTTGGGAGTGTAACTCTGTCACAATTTCTATTTCAGTCATATCAGAAAGGCATCGTCCGATATCACGAACAATGCCTTTCCTACAATTTTGTGTCCTGTGAGGGGTGACCTCAACAGGAACAGCAGCTAGTGATTTTGTTGAAAGAAGAATTTGGGACTGGATTTGTTTTTTTCCATTGGATCAGTAGAGAACCAGATTGTATTTTTTACCAGATCGTATTTCCTTGACTTCATCAACTAAACCTTCAATATCCTTTGATATAGCAAATGGATTCACCATTTGGCGCAGACATAACGAGAAAACGAGACCAAGCATCAGGATTGATGGGAGGTTGTGGAGAATCTTCATCCCCAGAAGAGAACGAATCATCAGACTCGTGTAAGCGTTTTTTGAGTGATTTTTTTAGATTCCTGGGTAGAATAGGTCTTCAGCAACCAATGCTTGCCGTAAATGGTGACTATGCTTGTCGTAAGAGGCGACTAACAGGATCGGGTGGTCAGGCTCGCTGACTTGGCTGATGCATGTCATCGATCCCAATTGCGTTGATCGAAGCTGATGATATTAATCACTGGATTGTCTGGTCCAGTCTCGATTATTTACAGACCGCCGTCATATAGCTGTAATATTGCTTAGTGCGGCGTTAAACAACGAACCAACCAACCAACGAAGCATGCGTCCCAGATTATTTCTTTTTCAATGACAATACAGGAAATAGTTCATAATTTTAAATATATTTATAAAATACCATAAACTGAAATGAAATACGTATTTCTGACTTTGTGAAAAGTGATAGATTTTAATATGAACGATATGACAGGTTTGTTTTTGAAACTATATATTATTTTGACGTGGCTACGGTGTGGCCCGTACACCGGCAGGGGCCTGACGTGTTGAAAGAGTTGAAGGAGTGGAGTACGTTGAAGCTGGAAGCTGTTTCACAAAGCAATCTCAGTGTCATGATGCATTCACATCCATAAGGGCCTGCCGAAATCCGCCCGAGAACAAATCTGTCGGCCTCGCACCTACGGCCGATGTCTATTTCGAACACTGAGTCTCAGCCAAATTCCTGATGTGACTGAGCTTATCTGATATGCCTTATGCTTCTAAAGGGTGGCCATGGTTGGAAAAGAATTTCTGAAATAATGGACTATCATGGGGTTCTATCAACCTTGCAACCAGTCGTCTCCCGGAATTTTGAGCTTCGAACATTTATGAGAAACCTTAGGTCAGGGCTGTTTTTAGCTATGCCAACAACTTTCTAAAGAACGTCAGCTCAATTTTATGGAGCAAAACTAGAGGATCCGCTCTTTACCGTCAACAAACGTGGTCTACTATGGTGGTTTTCGGGACACCAAACTCTGTCCATGCTTTTTTGTAGCCCATCCTCTTTGATCGCATTTCCGCAACGGTACCCTCCAGTTGCTGATTTGTTTATTGTCGGATCTAATGACATTCTATCAAAATCAAAAGTTGCCCTATTTAAATTGCTCCTATCTGGACTGGTTTTAACACCTATAATATGTGCTATAGATTGTGGGTTCCCCCCAAATAGTGTTTCGCGACACCCTGGTGTCATCACTGCTTTTCTTTGGTCCATTAGTATAATTTTGACAACAATGTTGCCCTTTATGCAAAATGGAATCTGTTTCGGCAGATAATCTAGACTGGTTACAATTTATATTTATTTGAACCTGGTCGATGTTTCTGTTGGACTGAAGTCACCAAGTTTCATCAAAAACGCAGTAGCATTAATCGCTGCTGAGTAAACTACTGGGGTAAAGTTTGGGGAGGGACTGCCCCCGTCAGGACATGCTTGCGATTTTCAGCGGTTCATTCATTTTATTTTCACAGCTATTTGCCCTTTACGCCAAATGGATCTTCGGTAGATCATCAAAGCTGTTTATTATCTTTCATTGACAAATTACGTATAATTATGTGTATTCCGGTCTGGGTGAAATTGAGTCGGCTCACTTCAAGAGTGAATTGTACAGCACACAGGTCACACTTCAGGTGAATTTACGACGCGTCTGTCACGGAGATTTGTTGGATTGGTGACTGTGTGTGTCCGCTTTATCCTGGAGGGTTTCTAGGTCTTCGGTCGTGCCCCACACAAGCGCATGTAATTAGCACGTCCACTATATTCAAATATGCATCTGCTCACCCAGTTTAATTTCGTTTGTTCAGTCCATACGTATTCCTTTTTCATTGGCCAGGATACGCGCTAGTGTATAGTTGTAAAAGAAAATCTGTCGGGATGTTCATAGAAGGAAAGATAAAGTACACTCGTATGTCGAAAGTTTAATCATTCGACGCTATATCATTGATATACACATTTATTACCAGGAAATTTCGAAATAACATTTCAAAAACAGCACTTAAGATAAAATGTGCCATTTCACATAACACTCAAGAAGAAGTGTGAATGAACTGATTACGACAGTGAACTTAGTTCACAACAGTACCTCAAGTATCCGCGAGTCCAGTGTATATTCAAAGGATGGATCAGATACAATGCCCCATAGATCAATTGTCACTGTCGTGGATAAACCTCAACAAAGAGAAAATGTCAATATCAGTTTTTTACACGAAAGAAACTATTGGCTAAATGGAGACTAGTCTCTGTACAAAGAAAACAAACACGATAGTCTGGTTCAGTTCTTTTACTGGCAAATGCATGGGTATGTCTAAGGTAACGTAGCCAAAGCCAACTGCCGCAAGATGGCGCCACTAGTTTCAGTGCACTCCGTCAGACTGCCCACTCGTTGCTCAACACAATCGCCATAGACACCCCTTAAGGCAGGATTGACAAACACTCTCCTGAAGGTAGAAACAAAACTATATTTTCACCAAATAAGACCCTGCATTAATGTTCAAATTTGATTTTCATAACCAGGGAACAAGGTATAAGTATGTGTATTGTGTACGTTTGCATCAACGGTGTGACAATCGTGAGATTCGTTTGAAACTTTCAACTTGATCTAGGAAGAAACCCCAAAGAGATGCAGGTCTTAGATGTTTACCACCTTGTTGAAACACACGATCACGGGAATGACGATGACAACCCTAAAAACATTATTCGGACCAATTTGGGATTCGAACCCACGATCATCGATTTCTGGTAGTCCTAAGGTCCACATTTCTGCAGAGTGAATTGCGGTGTCACAGACAACTGGGCTACCTATAATACCCAGGTGCCATGGGTGGACCTACTCAATAAGTATTCATGTATGTAAATGTTATGGCTGAGCTGTATAACACGACATTTGTTGTCTTCAGTCAATCAATTTTAATTCAGAATGATAGAACACATTACGAACAATACAATAAGTGGCTGAAAGGTTCTGTTTGTTTGTTGTTTAACGCCGCAGTCAGCAATATTCCAGCTTTATGGCGGCGGTGATTGACATCAGGATCATCGATCCACGCAATTGGGATACGATGACGTGCATCAACCAAGTCAGCGAGCCTGACCAACCGACACTGTAAGTGGCCTCTTACGAAAAGCATAGTCGCCTTTTACGGCAAGCATTGGTTGCTGAAGACCTATTCTACCCCGGATCTTCTCGGGTTTTGAAACGTTCTGAGTCTAACTATGCTTATCTTAATAAGCGACTAGTAAGCTTAATATTTTTATTTCAGTTTAGCAATGAAATAAGGCATCAGTGTTTAATTGTGTTCTATCTTTTCCGGATGTCGGTATACAAGGAATCACACAATTGTAGACACTTTACAGATCCCCTACCCATGTATCTTATCATAAGGCCCCAACAGTACACACTTTACAGTTCACCTAGCCACGTATCTTATCATAAGGCCTCCAGAGGTAGACACTTTACAGTTCACCTACCCATGTATCTTATCATGAGGCCTCCAGAGGTAGACACTTTACAGTTCACCTACCCATGTATCTTACCATAAGGCCTCCAGAGGTAGACAATTTACAGTTCACCTACCCATGTATCTTACCATAAGGCCTCCAGAGGTAGACAATTTACAGTTCACCTACCCATGTATCTTATCATTAGGCCTCCAGAGGTAGACACTTTACAGTTCACCTACCTTTGAATCTTATCATTAGGCCTCCAGAGGTAGACACCTTATAGTTCACCTACCGTTGTATCTTATCATTAGACCTCCAGAGGTAGACGCTTTACAGTTCACCTACCCATGTACATGTATCTTATCATAAGGCCTCCAGAGGTAGACACTTTACAGTTCACCTACCCTTGTATCTTACCATAAGGCCTCCAGAGGTAGACAATTTACAGTTCACCTACCCATGTATCTTACCATAAGGCCTCCAGAGGTAGACAAATTACAGTTCACCTACCCATGTATCTTATCATTAGGCCTCCAGAGGTAGACACTTTACAGTTCACCTACCTTTGTATCTTATCATTAGGCCTCCAGAGGTAGATACTTTATAGTTCACCTACCGTTGTATCTTATCATTAGACCTCTAGAGGTAGACGCTTTACAGTTCACCTACCCATGTACATGTATCTTATTATAAGGCCTCCAGAGGTAGACACTTTACAGTTCACCTACCCTTGTATCTTGTTATAAGGCCTCCAGAGGTGGACACTTTACAGTTCACCTACCCATGTATCTTATCATAATGCCTCCAGAGGTAGACACTTTCCAGTTCACCTACCCTTGTATCTTGTTATAAGGCCTCAAGAGGTGGACACTTTACAGTTCACCTACCCATGTATCTTATTATAAGGCCTCCAGAGGTAGACACTTTACAGTTCACCTACCCTTGTATCTTTTCATAAGGCCTCCAGAGGTAGACAATTTACAGTTCACCTACCCACGTATCTTATCATTAGGCCTCCAGAGGTAGACACTTTACAGTTCACCTACCTTTGTATCTTATCATTAGGCCTCCAGAGGTAGATACTTTATAGTTCACCTACCGTTGTATCTTATCATTAGACCTCTAGAGGTAGACGCTTTACAGTTCACCTACCCATGTACATGTATCTTATTATAAGGCCTCCAGAGGTAGACACTTTACAGTTCACCTACCCTTGTATCTTGTTATAAGGCCTCCAGAGGTGGACACTTTACAGTTCACCTACCCATGTATCTTTTCATAAGGCCCCAACAGTACACACTTTACAGTTCAACTACCCACGTATCTTATCATAAGGCCTCCAGAGGTAGACACTTTACAGTTCACCTACCCATGTATGTTATCATTAGGCCTCCAGGGGTAGACACTTTACAGTTCACCTACCCATGTATCTTACCATCAGGCCTCCAGAGGTAGACACTTTACAGTTCACCTACCCATGTACATGTATCTTATCATAAGGCCTCCAGAGGTAGACACTTTACAGTTCACCTACCCTTGTATCTTGTTATAAGGCCTCAAGAGGTGGACACTTTACAGTTCACCTACCCATGTATCTTATTATAAGGCCTCCAGAGGTAGACACTTTACAGTTCACCTACCCTTGTATCTTTTCATAAGGCCTCCAGAGGTAGACAATTTACAGTTCACCTACCCACGTATCTTATCATTAGGCCTCCAGAGGTAGACACTTTACAGTTCACCTACCTTTGTATCTTATCATTAGGCCTCCAGAGGTAGACACTTTATAGTTCACCTACCGTTGTATCTTATCATTAGACCTCCAGAGGTAGACGCTTTACAGTTCACCTACCCATGTACATGTATCTTATCATAAGGCCTCCAGAGGTAGACACTTTACAGTTCACCTACCCTTGTATCTTGTTATAAGGCCTCCAGAGGTGGACACTTTACAGTTCACCTACCCATGTATCTTATCATAAGGCCTCCAGAGGTAAACACTTTACAGTTCACCTACCCTTGTATCTTTTTTAAGGCCTCCAGAGGTAGACACTTTACAGTTCACCTGCCCATGTATCTTTTCATAAGGCCCCAACAGTACACACTTTACAGTTCACCTACCCACGTATCTTATCATTAGGCCTCCAGAGGTAGACACTTTACAGTTCACCTACCCACGTATCTTATCATAAGGCCTCCAGAGGTAGACACTTTACAGTTCACCTACCCATGTATGTTATCATTAGGCCTCCAGAGGTAGACACTTTACAGTTCACCTACCCATGTATCTTACCATAAGGCCTCCAGAGGTAGACACTTTACAGTTCACCTACCCATGTACATGTATCTTATCACAAGGCCTCCAGAGGTAGACACTTTACAGTTCACCTACCCTTGTATCCTGTTATAAGGCCTCCAGAGGTGGACACTTTACAGTTCACCTACCCATGTATCTTATTATAAGGCCTCCAGAGGTAGACACTTTACAGTTCACCTATCCTTGTATCTTTTCATAAGGCCTCCAGAGGTAGACACTTAACAGTTCACCTACCCATGTATCTTATCATAAGGCCTCCAGAGGTAGACACTTAACAGTTCATCTACCCTTGTATCTGATCATAAGGCCTCCAGAGGTGGACACTTTACAGTTCACCTACCCATATATCTTATAATAACGCCTCCAGAGGTAGACACTTTACAGTTCACCTACCCATGTATCTTATCGTAAGGCCTCCAGAGGTAGACACTTTACAGTTCACCTACCCACGTATCTTATCATTAGACCTCCAGGGGTAAACACTTTACAGTTCACCTTCCCTTGTATCTTATTATAAGGCCTCCAGAGGTGGACACTTTACAGTTCACCTACCCATATATCTTATCATAAGGCCCCAACAGTACACACTTTACAGTTCACCTAGCCACGTATCTTATCATAAGGCCTCCAGAGGTAGACACTTTACAGTTCACCTACCCATGTATCTTATCATGAGGCCTCCAGAGGTAGACACTTTACAGTTCACCTACCCATGTATCTTACCATAAGGCCTCCAGAGGTAGACAATTTACAGTTCACATACCCATGTATCTTATCATTAGGCCTCCAGAGGTAGACACTTTACAGTTCACCTACCCATGTATCTTATCATGAGGCCTCCAGAGGTAGACACTTTACAGTTCACCTTCCCATGTATCTTATCATAAGGCCTCCAGAGGTAGACACTTAACAGTTCATCTACCCTTGTATCTGATCATAAGGCCTCCAGAGGTGGACACTTTACAGTTCACCTACCCATATATCTTATAATAACGCCTCCAGAGGTAGACACTTTACAGTTCACCTACCCATGTATCTTATCGTAAGGCCTCCAGAGGTAGACACTTTACAGTTCACCTACCCACGTATCTTATCATTAGACCTCCAGGGGTAAACACTTTACAGTTCACCTACCCTTGTATCTTATTATAAGGCCTCCAGAGGTGGACACTTTACAGTTCACCTACCCATATATCTTATCATAAGGCCCCAACAGTACACACTTTACAGTTCACCTAGCCACGTATCTTATCATAAGGCCTCCAGAGGTAGACACTTTACAGTTCACCTACCCATGTATCTTATCATGAGGCCTCCAGAGGTAGACACTTTACAGTTCACCTACCCATGTATCTTACCATAAGGCCTCCAGAGGTAGACAATTTACAGTTCACATACCCATGTATCTTATCATTAGGCCTCCAGAGGTAGACACTTTACAGTTCACCTACCCATGTATCTTATCATGAGGCCTCCAGAGGTAGACACTTTACAGTTCACCTTCCCATGTATCTTATCATAAAGCCTCAAGAGGTAGACACTTTACAGTTCACCTACCCTTGTATCTTATTATAAGGCCTCCAGAGGTAGACACTTTACAGTTCACCTTCCCATGTATCTTATCATAAAGCCTCAAGAGGTAGACACTTTACAGTTCACCTACCTTTGTATCTTATTATA